ACATATATATTACACCCAGCTTGTCGTGCAGACCACGTTAGGTGGTTCCGACTCGTGTGCAGATTCAGTGATTGAGTTGAGCGTGGAGCTCTATATGCAGCGGTACATGTCACGTTAGGTGACTCCCGGCTGCCAGTTTATATGTGATTGATGTGAATTACGCTTGAGCATTTATATTTGATTATGAGATTCTGTTGTGACATATTCTCAAGCATGAATGGCATATTGTGAGCATAAATGGCATATGTGGAGCATGATTGACATACCTATACATACGTATATATGTTTATTTTCTGGGAAACTATATTTGTTTTACGGCGAGGGGTTAGTATATTCAAAGAGAAAAGAAGGTTTTGAATGCGTACGTTTTGCTGACCCACTCAACTTTGTTTTGCGCCCCTCCAGATTCAAGAATTGCAAAGGTGTGGTGACTACGAGGAAATTCAACGGTGTTCTGACAGAATGGACCAAATAAGGACTCATCTTCGGGTGTTGTATTTTAGAAGTTGTATATTTTAAAGCTTCCGAACTGTGCAAATGGTTACGTCACTCTCACGTGACGGCCAGCATGCCCTCCTTCGGGACGGGGTGTGTTAAGTTGGTATCAGAGCCTAAGTTTCAATCTTGGACATCTTGAGAAGTTCTAGTGAATTCTGTCAGAACTACACCGCCTCGTAGCAAACCACGTAGTTAGAGGAACTTAGTCTCCCTGATTTAGTTGTTGGGGGAAACTATTATTTTTGGTGATTCAGTATATTATCAAAAAGGGACATTTTAAGATGGGTTATGAGTTGAATTTGAATCACCTTATGAAATGATGAACCTGAGGGAGCAAAGTGATGGATTAATCATTTGGAAAAGATGTTTTAGATTATGCAAGTCAAAGGAATCTTCCTTTTGACAGAAGGGTTGAGACGACTACCTGGTTTGAGTTATGAACTTGTATCCTGGTGGAAACAGGAGTATAATTCGTTGTCACCGGAGGAAACAGCCGGTTGAGAATTGTTTAAGGACTTGTTTAAAGAAAAGAATTATTCCTTCGGCATCTTATGATGGTAGAAAGCAAGAGTTTGCAAATGTGAGACAAGGAAAGCTGACGATCAATGAGTATTATAAAAAGTTCTCAGACTTGCCTTGTCCCATTCGAATATTGCCGCTATTTTGATTGAAGTGTTATATTGTTTTAGGCTGGGTGGCATAAGGCAATGGTATTTTGGGTGACCACTATCCATTGTAATCCTTATCAGGAGTATACAAGATGTTGTTGAGCCTTGAGGACTCTGAGAACATGTTCAGCGAGAGTAAAGAAGAATGATAAAAGAATGGGAATCAAAAGAGGACGATAAAGTTAATGATTCGTCATATCAAGAATATAGAGAGATTCGGAACTTCAAAAGAAGTGAAGCTAATTCTAGTTCTTTTGGCAAAGGTTTTAATGCCATTGACCAGAAGCGAAGTGATAGATGTATTGGTAATCCCAGATCTCAGAGACAAGGTGATTTTGGTAAAAGAAATGTACCCTTGGGCTGTAGGTACAATAATGGACACCTTTGAGAATGTAGGCGAGAAAGCAGTGGACGTTTTACAAGTGGATAGATGGGACATAGAACTGCAAATTTTGTCCAAAACCAACAGAAGCCCTAGCAGTTTTCTTTGCCATAACTGGCGCCGATCCAGCAAGTTCCTGGATCTATTAATTATGGTCAGTTAGGCCGTGGTGTACACGAGCGAAGTATTTACACTAATAGAGGTTGTGGGAGACAACAACAAGCCCAGAGATGTGTTAACCACACATCACTGCAAGATACTCAGAATTATTTGGATTTGAGTAGGGGTACGATAATTATTCTTAATGACTTAGCTAGAGTCTGTTTGTTAATAATGTAGAAATTTTACGTTATTAATGTTATTGCCTTGAAAGTAGTATTTAAACGCAGTTGAGACGTGTGTATGTATTTCCCGATGAGTGGCAAAATAGTAATATTACGCCCTCGAGAGTTGTTGCTTACTTATCGAGACAACGATGAATTATCAGTATTGCGGGCTGCAGACCGTAATATTAATAACTTATTCGTGGATTCGTTAAGCAAGTAAACCGATAGGTTATCCTATGTTAGTATCGTACTTATTCAGAGTGCTCAGTATTAATAGAGTATGTATTGTTGCTAGCTACTTTTGTTTCATTAGATTGTGGATTTCGATGTTATTCTAGAGCATATTATGTTATATACAGTGATGAGTTATATATGCAGCCGAGGGCTGAGTTAATTAGAATGAAAGAGTATGAGCTATGTATATAGCCGAATGTTGAATGGATTATATGTTATTTTCCATCGGTCTGGATGACTAGAGATTACTTTTGTAAGTATGCAAAGTGAAGTGAGGCAGACCGTTAATTATGCTGTGAGAGCAAAGAGATTATTATCAAAAGGCTGCCAAGGATACTTATCTCATGTGGTGCTAAAAGATGTCACTTCTAGTAGCGTGGAAGAAGTGGGAGTAGTCAAACATTTACCTGACGTTTTCCCTGAGAATTTACCTGGATGGCTACCAGTTAAAGATGTAGAGTTCACTATGGATTTGTCTCCAGGTACAAACCATATATTATAGAATGTTGCCTTTTGAACTAAGAGAATTGGAAATTGGTTGATAAAGGTTTTTATTCAACCTAGTACATTACGTTGGGGGAACCCCAGTTTATTGGTGAGAAAGAAAATGGACGTTAAGGCTGTGCTTTGATTATAAGCAGTTGAATCGAGTAACAATTGAAAACCGTTATTCGTAACCTCACATTGATGGTTGTTTGATCAGCTTCTAGGTGGTTGTATATTTTCTAAGATGGACTTGAGGTTTGGATATTATTAGCTGAAGAGTATCGGTGAGGATGCCCTTATGATAACTTTCAGGACTTGTTAAGGTCATTTCAAGTTTTGGTGATGCCATTCGGAGTGACGAATGCATCTACTACTTTATGAATTTGATGAATGAAGTATTCCAATGATATCTACACCGATTTGTTGTTGTTGGTATTGAAAAGATTGATAAGACTAGAGCAAAGTATGCTAAACATCTTAAATTGGTATTGCAAAGATCGAGGGAACGTCGATTGTATGCTAAGTTTAGCAAATGCCAATGTTGGATGAATCAAGTGGCATTTTTGACATATGTTATATCTGCTTCAGGTATTCAAGTGAATTCATAAAAGGTAGCAGAAATTGAGAATTTAGAACAATCACGAATCGTGATTGGGATTTGGAGTTATCCTAGCTTAACAAGCTATCATGGACGGTTCGTGAAAGATTTTTCAGTCATTGCTTTGTCATTGATGAGATTGTTGAGAAAAGAGGTTATGTATGAGTGGGAAGGAAATTGTGAGCCAAGAATTCAACAACTGAAGTATTTCCTCACTCATGCACGTATTTTAGTATTCCCAGAGATTAGTGGTAATCATAAATTTTTAGTGATGTTTCTTGAATGGTATGGGATGCATGTTGATGCAAATGTTAGGGTGATTACATACGTTTCACGACAAAAGGAACCTCATGAAATGAATTACCCTACTAGTGATTTGGAAGTCATGATTACCATTCTTGCTGTGAAGTTATGAAGACATTATATTTGGTAAGAATGCAAGATTTTTACGAATCCAAAAAGTCTCCAATATCCATTACTTGGAAGGATTTTGATATGAGGCAGCGAAAGTGGATTGAATTGTTTAATGAACATGATTGTACGACCAGGGTGATCGTAAAATTGTTCTAGCTGATGCACTTGGTGAAAAGACGGTGGTAAGAGTTGATGTCTGGCACGCTTGCCAAGATTGTCTTCTTGTGGATTGGAAATCAACTAAAGTAAAGTTGAGAATGGAAGTTTGAGAAGAAGTTGTAATTGCTAATTTTCAAGTTAAGTCTTTTTAGTAAGGTCGTACTCAAGACTCAAATGGTTAACGAAGAAAATTAAGAATTAACCAAGGCAAAGAAAGAAGGGAAAAAGAAAGATTGCTGAGTTCGAGAATAGGATGGTTAGGATTGAACTTGAAGTGATAGTTGATCAATGTACCAAGTTAGTACATTTACTCCAGTGTTGAGTAACAACCACAGTGCAACAGTACTTATATGTTTTATGGAGAAGAGATTTGGGTTATGGAACTGCTGAGTTTCTTAAGTATGTTGGTTGCACAGTTTCCAAAGTAACGCCATAAGGACCATGAAATGTGTCGATTTTTGTTGATTTGTGGAAGAAATACTTCTGGATAGAGAAGATTCGATCACGAAAGAGTTTTGGTAGGCCCTGAAACTATGGATGAGTCTTCTCAAAGTATTCAGGTGATTAAGTTTAACCTGAGAGTAGCCAGGAATGGCAAAAGAGATTAATAGTTGAACATGTCATTAATCGAGTGTTTAACGTAGATGATCTTATAATTTTGAAGTTTTCACTTTAGAAAAGTATGATTCAGCTGGGAAAGGAAAGCAAATTAAGTCCTAAGTACATCGGACTTTATGCGATCATCGAAGAGTAGGTGAAGTTGCTTGAATTACTTCCAGAGTTATTGTAAGAGCATGATGTGTTTCATGATTCAACATTTTTAGAAATTTCATCACGAAAAGAAATAGTGAGGTTTGGAAAGGAGACAAAATAAGTCTTAAACACATCAGACCGTTTTTGAACACTAAAGGAATCGATGAAGTTGCATACAAGTGGTGATGTCTTCAGAATTGGCTAAGGTGCATAATGTATTATATTTCGATGCGTTGTCACTAGGTGGCAGATTCGTCACATGGAGTTCCGATGCAACTATTGAGAATTAATCCGGATTAAACTGGTTGAGGAACCAAGGACGACTTTGGATTGGAAAAAGAATGTATTGAGAATTAAGACAGTGTAATTGGTAAAGAATTTGTGAAGAAAGCAGTCAGTGGAAGAAATTACGTGGGAGAAGGAGAATCGGATGAGAGAGATTTACCAGAAGCTATTGTTTGAGTATTGATGATTAAGTTGGTTGTTGGAATTTCGGGGACGAAATTCTATAAGGAGGGAAGGTTGTCACAACCCGTCCCGGAATTTTAATTCCGAGGACGTGAAGTTATGAAAATGCCCTTAAACGGGACTAAGGGGCGTAAAATATGTTGTAACTTGATGATTTGGGGATTGGGTAGGAACCCCACATCCCTCAAATCTCTCCCTCATTCCCGTACCTTGTCTCTCTCTCTCCTCCCTCACAAATCTCTCATTCTCTCTGTAAGTTCTCTCTCTCTCTCTCTCTCCTTCGAACTCACACGGACCACCCACAAACCACCCCAAAACTATACCAACGCAGGATCTAAGACCACCATCGTACTCCTGAGGACCACACGAACACGATGGTACCAATTTCAGGTGAGTTTCACTTCGGAAAACATGGATTTCAATTTCACTGTGCGTGTGCACTGTTCATGCACACGTAAAGATTGATGTTTTTTTGGGATTTTGAAGCTTGTAGGAAGCTTGGTGAGGTCCTAAGGAAGCTCGGAGTGCTTCGTTTGAAGGATTTGGACGTCGGGATCACGAACTGTAAGTTTGGCCGAATTTTCGTATTTTTGGAAAAGTTTGATTCCGTTGTTTTTAGGCCCTAAAACTAGTCCAACGTGGTAGATTATGTTTAGGGCTTCATTTTGGTATAAATTACGTGAAAAATGGACGTAGGAACACGGAGAACGATAAGTTCAAAGTTTGGCCGGAGCTGTCGGGGCTTTTTCCGGCGAAACCACGGCGAGTTAGGGGTCGAGACAGGTATGGATGTGTTCGTCTCGTCAATACCTTCATTTTGATATATAGTACGTCGAAAATGGTTAAGAAATGAAGAAGTTATGACAGTTTGAAATTTACCCAGAAATTCCGGCAAAACACTATTTCCGGCGAAACCAGTCCGGCGACGCGAGGAAGAAGACGCGCGCGTGGGCAGCGCGTGAACAGGGCGCGTGGGGGCGCGTGACAGCTCCAAATTGAGTTCTGAAAATTGTCACGCGTTCGTGACGTCGTGTAGATCACCGTGGTATATTCATACACCCAAATTGAGCAACGTATGAGAAAGTTATGGACGAATGTTTGGTGTATGTGCATTAAATAATGTCAATTTGGTTACTTTTTGTATAGGTGAAAATTATACAAAGGAAGAATGTAACCAAGCTAGGGGAGGTTCAGGGACCTATGAGACGTCGATGTGATATGTGAGTGGGCAGTTATTTTTCAGTATATATATATATACGTATGCTTGACGTATTTCCCAGAAACGTATTTTAAAAGAAATACGAATTAAATATCCTGTCATATATGCATCATATTTTAATATGTGCATTACCATAATTATGCATACTGTATTTGGTGCTGTGGACGCACAGGTAAGTGCCAGGTAAGTGGTATTCCTGTTTGTATTTCAGTAGTAGTTTGAGATGTTAGAGAGCTCATAATCTGCACCCCCGGTGTTAGTGCTCCCGTCCAGGGCCAGGGCACAGCCTTCACGTGTATGTTCACCAGCACCGCATGCTCGTCTTGGATCCAAGTTAGGTGCAAGCCTGTCGTAGAGATCACATTAGGTGGTTCCGACTTGTAGGTGACCCGCGATTTATCGCCAGCTTCACGTGATCGTAGCACTAGAGCATACATATATATTACACCCAGCTTGTCGTGCAGACCACGTTAGGTGGTTCCGACTCGTGTGCAGATTCAGTGATTGAGTTGAGCGTGGAGCTCTATATGCAGCGGTACATGTCACGTTAGGTGACTCCCGGCTGCCAGTTTATATGTGATTGATGTGAATTACGCTTGAGCATTTATATTTGATTATGAGATTCTGTTGTGACATATTCTCAAGCATGAATGGCATATTGTGAGCATAAATGGCATATGTGGAGCATGATTGACATACCTATACATACGTATATATGTTTATTTTCTGGGAAACTATATTTGTTTTACGGCGAGGGGTTAGTATATTCAAAGAGAAAAGAAGGTTTTGAATGCGTACGTTTTGCTGACCCACTCAACTTTGTTTTGCGCCCCTCCAGATTCAAGAATTGCAAAGGTGTGGTGACTACGAGGAAATTCAACGGTGTTCTGACAGAATGGACCAAATAAGGACTCATCTTCGGGTGTTGTATTTTAGAAGTTGTATATTTTAAAGCTTCCGAACTGTGCAAATGGTTACGTCACTCTCACGTGACGGCCAGCATGCCCTCCTTCGGGACGGGGTGTGTTATACACTCCTTTATCCAATATGAATACAATGAACTAATTCGATCATCAATTTCAAATATTTACACTAGCCACTTCACCCACCCGATACCCAATAGCCTGATGGATCAAACCTAGAAGACTACTTGTTTTAGTATTTTCTTTTTTGTTCGAACATCTTGTATGTACATTTTCATATATTTTATAATTAAATACTTTTTCTTGGTTTATTAATTATTGTTTAGAATTTAATTACAATATTTATTAAAAATTAAATAAAACAGTGCAAACCTTTTTTTTTTTTTTTTTTTTTTTTGGCAAAAAATAATTTTTATTTAATTTTTAACAAATATTGTAATTAAACTCTAAGTGTTTTTTGAAAGTGTAAATACCCTACTTTTAGCTTTAACACCATACATTCAGATCCTACTAAACGAAGGAAAAAATACATTTCAATTTCTTCTAGTTGGCAGTTACAATGCATGAACATTGCACATAATCCCACTAGGACTGATTCTAAACCTAACCAAGATTACAACACACATAATTGACAATATGTCAATGCCATCAATGCACAACTTTATAATTACCAATGGTTGTCTCCACAAATACCGATGCACATACTTCAGTATACTAAAAATCATATGATTCCTGATTGTATAAACACCGTTCACACTCACAAGTTGCTTTCAAAATTAAACGTGTTTAAGAAAAAAACATATCAATTACATAGAATTCCCTTTCAGAATTCCGAATAATGTAATGTCGAACGAAGAATTTCATATATCTCCGAAAGGAGTTATATCACATTGAACAACTTCCAACTACAATTCTCCACAGTTTTTCACATTTTTTGAATCATGAATAACCCTCCAACTCACATTAAGAAATTGAAAGGCTTGACAAGCCCCAATTTTCATAGAACAAAGAATGAACACATCTATCACTTCATTAATCATGGATTTAATTACCGCATATTTTGATCCAAACAGGTGATTAGTCATTCACAAACAAACAAAAATGATCGAAATTTTCAATATATTGGGTAATATTAACCAAAATTTCAATACAATCATATATAAAAAATGGAAAAATAAATATATATGTATACCCCATTGAAAATGATGGGATATGCATCGTACAAAACTAATTTCAACGATTCAACTGTCAAACATTTTTTTATATACTTTGAGATCGTATACACCAAAAATCGCAAAAAACAAACATTCAAATATCAAGTAACGGGACAAAACTTTTTGACAGTTATAAACGAAAAATCACAATTTAACAGTAGTTTTAACTCCAATTTTGATGGTTTTTTACAGCTACACTCCTTGATCCTATATGAATACAATGAATGAATTCGATCTTCAATTTAAAATATTTACACTAGCGGATACCACAAAATCTTATGTTATACTTAATGAAAATATAAATAAACTCTAAGTGTCAGTGAATCTATCATTTTGATGGGGTACACATTCTACGAAATTAATTTCAATGATCCAACCATCAAACTTGTTTGTATATATTTCGAGATTGCATACGCCAAAAATCGCAAAAAACAAACATTCAGAGATCAAGTAACGGGACAAAACTTTTCGACGGTTATAAATGAAAAATCATGATTCAGCGACATTTTTAACTCCGATTTTGATGATTTTTTACATCTACACTCCTTGATCTTATATGAATATAATGAACTAATTCGATTGTCAATTTAAAATATGTTGATCATAATTTGAACAATGGAAATATGTGACAACATATATTTATTTCTATACAATGGAATACTTCACTTAGGCTTGGAAGCTTTGGTCATTAAAACAGTTGAACTGTGGTTTTTTTTTTTTTTTTTTTTATCAATATGGATACATCTATTACACTTGTTGTGATGCTATTTTAAATGTACAAAATCAGTTCTGATTAGAAACTGTGTCAGATGAAGCAACATTAGCAATGATTGTAGATTGTACAATAAACTTACCATTTGGAGCATCCGAGTTTTCTTCTTTCCAGATCAAAGTATCTTTCGAACATGAAGGGTCACTATTCTGAGCTGGTTCTAAATCCTCTTTTACAATATCGTAAGAGATTTTTTGAGTTAAGTACACATATACTGTCATATGTTGAAGTCAAACTGAAGGCAAAAGACTGACCATGCATCATAAGAAATTTACATGTTCTTCTAACTATTAGTTAAGTCTTTCCATTTTCTTGTGACTACGCTCTCTCACTATCATATGATTTTAAGACTAATAATTAGGTCTTCACATTTTCCTGAACCAGTATAGACCGAGACGAACAGAATAATTCAGAAGTCCTCAGTAGAACTTCTATTAAAAAACAACTTATGTCCAGTTATATATGGTAACGTTTCCTGTTAAATCTATACAAAAACAAAAATGAGTTGTACATATAAATGAAATCTTCTTTTATGAAATTCTGTATAAGTAAAAAAGAAGTTATAAATGAATTAATACACTTAAAGAAAATGAATTTATCACAGCCAACTGTAATACAAATTTAGACACCTGGCTTTTGAGTTTAGGATGTCTGTATGGGAGGTCTGGCTTTTGACTTGTGTTAGAATACATGACACACCCTGACCGAAATCAGGGCATGTTGGCCATCACGTGAGAGTGACGAAACCATGTGCACAGTGCGGAAGCTAAGAATAATAATAAAAGTACGAATAAATAAAAACCAAGCTATACACTGAGTAGATAACATACATGTGCAAGCGTACGTGTGAAAAATAATATTCAAAGCACAAAAGACCTAGTGCAGTCCAAAGGAATAAACACTACGAAACACACCCAGGGGTGGTCTTACACTGGTGATAATCTGTCAGATATGTCGAGAATCCCTCAAGAGCCACCAAAAGAGCAACCCAAACTAGAACCTGGAGGGGCACAAAACAGAAAGTGTGAGTGGGCAAAAACAAAGCTTTTCAAAACCATTTCATTAACAAAGTTCTAACCCCTAGCCGTAAAACCTGTATAGTTTCCTAGAAAATAGAATATACACATATATAGAAAACATGCTCAGAAATAAATATGCCATGTCGAATGCCTCTACATAAAAATGTAAGTACTTAGGTAATGTCAATCAATGCAATGTAATCTGTCAGCCAGAGTTACCTAACGTGACCTATACGGTTAAAGCTAGAGCTCAAATCTCCAACTCACTAACTATACCTGCACACAAGTCGGAACCACCTAAAGTGGTCTGTACGACAGGACTGAGTGTAAATAAATACGCTCAAGTGCTACGATCACGTGAAGACTGGGCGAACAATCGCGGGTCACCTACGAGTCCGAACCTCCTATAGTGGTCTGTACGACAGGATTGTGCACCTAACTTGGATCCAAGATGAGCGTGTGGTGCGGGAGGTGAACATCACGTGAAGGACTATGCCCTACTCTGGGCGGGAGCACTAACACCGGGGGTGGAGGTTATGAGCTCTCTATGCATCTCACATCACTACTAATCACAAACATAAACCATAACTTACTTGGCACTTACCTGTGCATCCGTAGCACCAAACATATATCTATATATGCAACTACTAATGCATAATTAAATAGGCAAACGCAATGCATGGCATTTAAAACATATAAACGTTTCATTTCATTTTCTGGGAAAATCACAAGTATATAGGTATATACGAAAAACCAAAAGCCCACTCACTGGTATGTAGAAGGGTCGTA